GACCTTTTCTGTATTAGTACATTAAACCTTTTACGCGAATTCTAACATTTCATTTTTTTAAATAAGACACAACTGGATTAAAAATTTGTAATACCAATATTGTTTTTTTAAATATTTAATTTTTTGCATTTTGACGAAAATTTTGAAAGCTTAGTAAAGTTCTCCTTAATTTACGTTTAGCATTTTTTTTACGACCACTTCTAATAATTACATTTTTGCTGAGATCATTAATTTGACCTTCAACATAGTAATTTGAAGCTTTCAATTTATTTTCTGAAATATTAATATACACGTTCTATTGTTTCTACAGCCATCCTACCTAATTCTTGTAATATCCTATTTTCAGAGTATTTCGCTGCATCTGCTTTATAATGTGCTTACTTTATTGAACTTATTCCAGCCTTGTTTAATTTAATATTTAATTTTCAATAAAAGATCTTTATCAATTATTTCTATTAGTGTTATTTATTTATTCTAATTGTTTTCAATTCGACTGAATTTTCAAATATTTTATTGTAATTGCCTCTAGTAGGGTTTTCTTTTTATTGTTTCTAACGTTTTCCTCTGAAAAAACTTTTTTGGACCTACTTCGCTCATTAGTGCTTGCATTCTGTCTATTTTTATTAGTCATGCTAATCCCAAGCCTTTTTAAAACCAGTAGTAAACTTGTATCCTGTATTTTTTAGATGCCCCCAAAGGAAGAAATCATGTGAGGACAAATCTAGCAATCTTGGTAGTCAAGCAATTGGCTGAAATCTTCCTATCCACCGCTCTGCAAAAATTTCGTGCAAATAATGTGTTATTATTGCAGTTGGCTATGCAGGAGCTCCATCCATTTCAAACCAAACACCATTAATATCATTAATATTTAAATTTAGAATTTGGAGTATTATTTGGTTGCGAGGCAGTCTTATAAAGGAATAATTAAAATTCAAATTTCCCTCAATAAAAAATGGGATGTTTAAGGTTTGGTTTATGACTCCTACCCGCACATTAACCCTTATATTATGTCAAATTTTGTAGATGGGGATTAGTATTTGACCAATATCACGGTTCCAATATCTATAAAGAAAGGAAAAGGAACTGAAGCGATAACTGAGTAAACAGGAGTAACCAATAATTTTCTGAACTGTCTTCATCATCTAGTGAAAATAATGCTTCATCTATAAATACGATGAATTATATATCAAGGGAGAGAAGACACTTTTCTCGCCCGAGCTGAATTATTTAAAATCGAGGGAAATTAGAAAGCGAGGGCCCGAAAAGTCTTCTCCCCCGTGGTTGATGTATTCGCTTTTTTCACTATTATAATATCACATTTTCTTAACGTTACTCCAAATTCTAACTCCCCAGTTCTACATTTTGGAGCTATCATGTATCATTAATAATGTATAAAAAGTGACAGCCTATGGTGACAACTCAATGTTTAGCCAACAGATCAACTCAACTACGGCGGTCTCGATTAACCAAGCCAATTGGCAATTGTTTTTATTATGTACTAGTAGGAGAAAAAGATCCATTATTGGGTAGGGTGCAGAACCTTATTTTCTCAAGCATCAAACACGATATATAGAGTTGTCTTCTGAAACTAGCAATGGAAAAAAAAAGTTTTAATTATTATTTATTAAACTAAACAGTATTTTGTAAAAATCCGTTCTTTTAATTTTATCTTCTGAACTTGGTTGTTGGTGATTAGTGAATTCACAAGGTTTGTATTTAAATTGTTTTAAAACTTTGCCCATTGAAAACCGAGAAATTCCAAAGTATTTGCCTGTCACGGTTAACAAGGACATTGGATTCTCTACGGCATAACATAAAAAGATGTCTAACTTTACTTCTTCATTACGTCATTGGAACATAATTTCTTTTGTTTTTCTTGTGATGTTTATATTTGACGCATCCGTGAGTGTTTAATTTTGCAATAATATTATAAACTGTTCCAGTTGACACAATTAATCTATCGAGATAATTGACTGAAAAAAAGCACTTATAATTTTAGTGGTTGCATGACTATGATACCAGTTTAATATTCGTTCTTTTTCTTTTGTTGCACAATGCATTTGTACAGTTGAGATAACGGAATCTTGGGGAGGTCTCTTCTGTCATTTTCAAAATTCTAAATGTAAATGCAGTTGTACTGTCATTGTGATTGATGCTTAAAAAAAAATTGGTCGAAGGTTATTTCGACAGAACTTACTTCGCTCCTAAAGTATAGTAGAACAAATCCAGCTTTTTTGAAAAATTATAGATTAGATTTTGCGAATTTTTTGATGACGTCATCAACATTTTCGCAAGGAGACGTACATCTGTTTGGATAGATGTACTATAATACTAATAATAACAGTACTGCATTCTCAAATTTCCAGGAAAATGGGGTGAGTAATTTTTTACTTAATTAATAAAATAAATAGCCTCATTAATTTTTTTTTTAATCAGCCTGGATAAGTAATTCTAAAAACTATGAGTGAATTGATAAACCACAAGTATAGAGGCATAATATTTCGCATATTTCAGAAGAGATTTGTTAGGCAAAATTATGAAATGACGTCATCAATTTTTTGAAAACGGATAAATGTATAAATTTTAATGAACGATTTATCATGACTACGATACCCTTAAAACATTTACAAGATTTCAAAGCATTCTGTTTTGCAGTTTCAAAGTTAAATTGCAAAATGTGGTTATATATTTTTGGTTTTTTTTTTTACAGAAATCTGGATGTTTAGGGTGAAAAACATGTATTTCTACATCATACGTGAATCATATTTTGGTCGAATTTTATGAGTTCTGAAGTATATTTCGACTTATTTTGACGATTCTGATGGACATGACATACTTGCGACATGTAGAATCGACTTATTAGTTTGCCAAAAGGAGACGATTGGGTTAATTTTTCACATTGTGGCGTTTGTAGATTGAAGAAATTTGTTGAAAAACTTCAGAAACGTTACTTTTCAAACATTTTCTTGTCTTTTGTAGCCTTTCTAGCATCCAGTGGCCCAACTATCTTATTTTATTAAATTAAAATAATATACGTATTATTGTAAATTTTAGAGATAACTATTCCTCTCGCGCTGTAATTATACATATTTATGACGTCATAACAAATTTTTTATTATAACAAAACGGAACCACCAACGGAAGAAAAACTGACGGAAAATAACATGCATTTTGCAGGGGGCGTAAAACATCGAGAAAACATCAAATTATTCACTCGTCAAACGGATCCTGTTGGGTACAATATTTTATAGCTTGCGTCTAATAACAGTAACTTATATATAACACAAACATTTAATCTTTCAGTTATAACTTACATGACTAACTGACATTCGAAATTATGCGAAAACAGATAAATTTTATATGAAAATAACAGTTTATTCATAATAATTTACATATGTGGCTTTATAATTACAAAAATCAACTCCCGTATTAACAGTAACGTTAGTTGTTATCATCAGCAGAACTTGTTTTTCTCAAAAATAAAATATCCCATGTTTACCATTTTAACCACCGCATGTTCATAGTTATTATTTGTGTTCTTCAACTTTCACCATTCTTAGTAATGTTTTAATCATGGTTTCCTTAAATGAGAAATGTTTTCTTATTAACCACTGCTGGACTTTAATAACTTTTTTCCATACTGTTGTGGGCAGTTTCGGTCAGTCTACTATCCTAAGAAAAACTGTCCGCAACCACTATGAAATTGTTCTCGATTTGTGTCAATATTTTGTTAAATTAAGCCTCACAGAGCTGTGAATTCAGTTCTTTATGATACTCCGCTGTTGTTTTTATTCTGGGGCTTGTCGTCGGAATAAACTTTATAAGCTACAAAAAAATGATGTTGAAGAAAGGGTGTCGGTTTTAAGCGACTTGCAAGAATTTATAAAAATTATGCAACATTGAAAAGTAAAATCTGCAGCAGCTATTTTTTTTTAAGATACGAAAACAGCAAATGTCACAATCAAGTCATTGGTGTAAACAAATCTAGCCGTTTGGCTCCAATAATATCTGTTTGCTCAAATTTAGATAATCGTAATTTATTTACGAGCCATTGTTTCTCTAGGACTTCGGCGAAAATGTTAGCTGACACCGGCGGGGATTCGCTCCGAATAAAAAGACATTGTGGCTGAAAATCATCAACAGTGCCCGAAAATTAATTTTTGATTCATAGACATATAGACAACAAGATAGAAATGACGACACGAATATTAATATCACCTTGTACTTCTATTTGCAATAAAAGGATTAGATTTGATGAAAGTGATGACACTTATTTTGTTGATTAACCACAAAACTCTAGTAATAGAAATATTTTTTTTAACTCTGGGTCGGGTCAGATCAGGTCAAGACCTGGGACTAACAATACAAAACTGTTCAAATTTTGCTACAAATATATATTATATAAATAAATATTGTAATAAAATGTTCTGTGCACTTTTCTGTCTATTATTATTTTTGTTGTAATCGCAGTCGTAGTTGTACATAAATAAGCAGAAATTATCTTAACTCGCTGATTCGAATTTTTTCGAAGATCGGCTTCGCTTCGGTTCGAAATTTTCGAAATTACACTTACTTAATGTTTAATTTTTCACTTTAGTTAAATAAAGAACCATTTAGTTCTAGCGGGAAAAGAAATGTCATGATTGTCATTACCTTACTGGCTACACTTACCATGTGGATTTCTAAAGCATTATTGTGGATTTCAAATATATTTTTTTATTAGGAGTATAAGATAATTTAAAGTCACTATCGTTCATAAGTATTTAGGCGAAAAAAAAAATTCTGTATTTAGACATGATGACTACATTTTTTCAAATGAAGAAATGATCTGTTTTTAAAACATTTCAATAAACAGTAGTGCCTAAATACTTATGGACGGCATTGCATGTACTTACACAACAGTCCTGAATGAAATCCACCTCATTTCTCCAAAAATTTAATCTTAAACTCCTCTTGGAATTTGTAGGTATTACGCGAACTGGTTTATTAAGAAAAAAATGTATTCAGTATTTTTTTATTTTATTTAAAATTACAAATACTGACAACAAAACTAAAAGGCATTAAACTATTACAATAAAAAAAAATAAAAAAATCAAGAAAATTATGCTTACAATGTTTTATAAAAAATAATCCCACAAACCTGAACTCCCTTTATGTGTAAATTTAATCAAATCGGCTAACTGCTCTCCAACCATAACTGTAGGTGTATTTGGATGCCCTGCCAAAGTAAAAGGGAACACACTTGCATCAGCTACTCTTAGATTTTCAATACCAAAAACCTTTAATTCGTAATTAACAACTGCACCTTTTTTTGGATTTGTTCCCATGGGACAAGTTCCTAATGGATGATAAAGATTTATAGTCAACTGCCTCAGAGCACAGTACCAATAATCTCGTGAAAAGTGTCGATACTGTTTACAAGCTCTTAAAAATCCCGGTTGCAACTTAGCGTCAATAGATCTAAAAGCTTTAGTTTGGCTCATCTTCAAAACAAGTTGTATACCTTCATACAACGTATTTATATCTCTGTTTTGTGGATCAGATAGAAAATTTGAATTTATTAATGGGTATTCGTAAGGGTTTTTACTTTTTAATTTAACGCTACCTATAGACTGTGAGTGTAAGTCTACAACATAAACGGTAAATGTCTGAGTTGCATTAACATATTTCCATACATCTTCGTATGTCTGGTCTGTCAAACCAAAGCTCCTTTGAGATAAAATATTTGAAGAGTTAGCAGGAATTAACATTAACTCAATATCAGGCACTCCTGTTCCTCTTGTATAACTCGACTCATAAAAACCTATACCCTGATTACTTGCAGGAACTGTCAACGGTCCTATACCATTCAAAAATTGTTTCACATAGTCTTTTAAGGGTCTGATTGGTTCTGTGTAATTAGTTGAAAAACTTAGTCCAAAAAATGTAGGATTATCTCGCAGAGTAGTTCCTACTTCTAGATCTTTAACAACTTTAATTCCTACGTCTTGAAGATGTTTTCTAGGTCCAATTCCAGACAGCATTAAAATCTGTGGGGAGCCAAACACTCCAGCTGCTAGGATAACTTCTTTTTTTGCTTCCACATAGTAATTGTGTCCGTTGTGACTAAACTCAACACCAACAGCAACAGGAGGATTAACATTTGTGTCTAATATAATTCTCGTTACATAACTACCAGTCAGAATATTCAAATTCGACCTCTTATTTATTGGATACAAAAAGGCTTTTGCATTGTGAAGACGTGTACCATGAAATGTATTTAACTGCGATGGTGACGCACCTAATCTATTAGCATTATAATCAACAATGTCCAAGCCAATCTCTTTATGAGCATCCAGAAAGACATTCAGATGTGGACTTCTGTATAGGTGATATTCAACATTGAGATACCCTCCGTGTCCATGAAATTTAGGTTCGTATGGTGCATCAGGATCTCGATGTACAAAATGTTCTGATTTTTTGAAGTATTCTAACACTTTGTTATAACCCCACCGTTCGTTTCCAGCTGCCTTTGCCCATTTATCAAAGTCACTTTTGTGTCCTCTAGCGTATACTAATCCATTAATTAACGAAGAGCCTCCAACACCTTTTCCTCTTGGATAAAGACAAACCCTGTTTACTAATCCTGCAAAAAAATGTATGTGCAAATTTACTTAAAACTTACTACAATATTACTTAATATACATTATACTATTTTATACATACTAAAAGTGGGTTTAAACTTAAATGTACCTAACTTTATTTCTACTTTATTACAATTCGACTAAAAATATGTTACTTCACTTGTTTAGAATTTAAATTAAGATGGGTTTTGATATTACTCTAATATACTCGTAAGTATATTGTAAACTATGGGTATATAGAGTATAGAGTAATCGTTTAGATATAGATGTGTGGCTTACCTAAAAAATCATTAGTTTCGAAAATAGCTACTAATGGTTTATGTTATGTACATCAGTACAGTACAGGCACACTAACAGTTTATAAAACATCTGGACATTTTCTGTGTAAACACAGTTATTTCATATAATATATCATTCCCTTTTTGTGACATCTAGTACTTTGTATTTCGCAAAATATTGAAATATTTACAAATATGAAATAGGAAATGTAAAATTACCCGTTTCGTTGTTTTTGCCGCTGTGTTTTTAAACTATAATAAGATTTCAGAAATAAAACAGCTGCAGTGTCTATCAAAATAAGAAAGGCAGGAATCTGTGCAATGAAAAGGCTATAAATATAGTTAAAATGAAGAAACCTTCAACAAATATTAATAACAACAGCTGAACATTTTGAAAATATTATAATGTTACAAAAATTCAGTTAAAGTTCGTCCTGTCATTTTGCTTATGATAATGTTGGTACTTCTTCGAGAAGTAAAATCAACGTTAACAAAAATTTTATTTAACAAATCGTTGTATTTCAAGAATATTTCATATCACATTCCATTTACAGAAGTACGCGAACATGTATTTCCTTTTGTATAAAACCTTTTTTCTTTTACTTGCTAATTTTAGATGGTTCATCTTGACTTGCCTACTTCCTGCTGTAAATTTGCATTGTAAATAGATTTTTTTTTATTAAGCAAGAAAAGTTAATTCTTTATTACTCCTTTTTGTTAATACAGAAACAATCTTATAAGAACAGTAATGAAAATATTTTACTCTACATAACACATCTCATGTCATTTTTCTCAAAACATACAAAATAATTTATCTGCATTATGTAACTAAAATAAATAACAGAACACAGTCATCTCATCTTATTTATAACGTCATGGTTATGTCTTGAAAATAAATTGAAATATTAAATTTAAACAGTTTTGGTTTTATGTTGAAGCCGAAACAGGTAACATTTATTTATAAAACCTCTACAATTTTGACAAGCAGTTCCAAACGACGTATTCATTCTAATTACGGTGCAATATACAGGGTTAGTCACGAGAGAATTACTTCTGAAAATTATTTTTACGCAACCCAAAATACGAATGCCATGTACCATTTGATACTAACTGAATTTAAAATGAAATGCTTAATCCATGATTGCTTTGAGTTTGGCAATCTCATTTTGACAATTGTAGAAAAGAAGGTTACGCGAGTGTCCATGGTGGTACCGCAGCCAGTCGGAAATTTCCTCCGGCGCCGCTAATAAATTTGTCAGTGTGCCTCTTGTTCTTTTGCAACCGATTAATCACGAGAAAATTATTTCTAAAAATTCCTTACACAGCATTTTATTCAAAGGTTACAACACAAACTCAAACAAGTAAGTAAATAATTTAACTACTAATCTGTTGAAAATGCTGAGCATTTTGGGGGATGCTATGGCTTTTTTGTAAATGGATGGCCGAAGAAGTCCAGAGGTTGCAGATTTGCACTTCGAAGAGGCTCTAGGTGACGCAGAGATAGCGAATTAACACATGCACATTAGCGGCGAACAACATTGGTAGAGCACTTACGGCTTCAGTATAGCCCAGATTGATCTGACTGTATGTCGTCGATCCAATGGGGCTCTAGAGGCGAGTCAACGATGAAAAAAAAAGTTAAAAATTAATTAACGTCAAAGTGACACTGCCAAAGTCAAAGCAATCATGGATTAGGCATTTCATTTTAAATTTAGATAATATCAAGTGGTACAGGGTATTAGTATTTTGGGTTGCGTAAAAATAATTTTCAGAAGTAATTCTCTCGTGACTAACCCTGTAATATAACGCGCAACAATGACGACCTTGTATTGCCCTAGAATTTGGTGTACAAAGTTCTTTGTTATAAAAACTCATTAAATTATACAACCGATTATTAAATTACTACTACACCCATTATTTTCAACGTCCATATTTGTTTTCGTTTATCGACCATGTAAAGGCGAACTACTACCTCGAAAACGCGCATATGCATAGAGGTACAAGAATTATGTTTATTCATAATCATTTAATAAAACAAGCAACATTATAACAATAAAAAACCTACCTCCATCATAATAAATGGTTTATATATTTTGGTAAAATATTAACACTTAGTAGGCACTGTAGGATTGACATTATTATCTGAAATTAATTCTAGATATTTTAATTTGATATAATTTATTGTTTAAGCTAACAGTGACGTCCCCATGGATCAGATATGGTTTCATTTCTGACTGCTTACGTTCATTGCTGACCGCTTTCAAACTTTTCCGACCCGTTCAAAAATGTATTCGTGGAATCGCTGACTTTTCAACCTTTCAGGGGTTAGAAAATATTACTAATTGATTGTGAATAAAATCGTACACAAACCTCAGCAAAAGTACCACTTATGTGTCTTGAGGACTAATTCACCTCGAAGCTACGCCTCTCGGTAAACCATAGTTCTCCCGACAGGTATGGAATACTTTCCTCCTCGGTATGTAATATTCTGATACGTTTTAAGAGAAATTAACACATTTACACAATATTTACACTTTGCATGATTCATCAGCTTTTTTTATATACAGATTGTAAAAACAATACGGTGAAATTAATATTTCTTGATATATCAAGCTGAAAATCCATTGCTATTTTTTTAATGTGATGATTAGTGAAATTTCCATTTTGCTTAATCATCATCCTTTTAGATCTGAATTCATACTACTCGGATGTTTCTTTTAAATATTTTATATCTTCGTACCACAATTTCAGATGTAAATTTTTCACGTACCTATGCGAAATGAATCGAAGTTAATTACTTCGGGTTGTCTTATAAAAATATTTGTTGTGGTTCAATTATGATGACAGCGAATATTCAGTTCTAATAATAAGAGAGTTTCATTCATTTATGCATTAGAAATAATTTCAAAGTTTCATGGGCCGTTGGCCAGTGGCGGCTCGTCCAAGGAGTCAATTGGTCAATGACCCCTCAAAAAATAAAAACTGAATAAATTTATTTATCAAAATTAGGTTTGTCAGCTGTTGGTGTGTATTTGTATTGTATATTGAACCACCCCATGAACACAAAATCCGCGATCGCCGCGGCGACGCGGCCGCAAAAGGGAATTCTCTCTTGAAGTTTGTTTGTTTGTTTGTTTGTTTGTTTATTTATTTACGGAATTCTCCACTTTTACAATAAGAATTACATTAAATTGAAGAAACTGATACAAACATTCTAATTCTAACTAAAAACATTAACCTTATATAAATACCCACTTTTAAATTTTAACTATAGAATATTAACTATCCATTTAAGATTAATAAAAAATGTTTCCTAAATAAAATTTTTGACTCTATGAATAAATCAAATGATCTTATAGAAGCTAACCTGTTTCCTAACTCCATAAATCTTTTAATCGGATTATTAATAGATAAATTTGTTTTTGATGAAGAAATCCTAAATATTTTATAAGTACGTGTTACGCATACATCGATTTGAGGCACATAAAATGACAATTTTGATAAAAGGTACGGACAGTTTATATAAAAATTTATAATTCCGTGCAAAACGCACCCGTCTGCTAATGTTCTCCTAAGATCTAAAGATGGTAAATTCATAATTTCTCTAACTATTTCATAATTTCCCGCTTGGTGAGTCAACCGTAGTTTAAATTCAATACAGCGAAGAAATTTCTTCTGGACCCTTTCTAATAGTAAGGGTGCCAGACCGAAGAACAATATTCCAACTGCGATCGTACCAAAGAACAATAGAGAACCCTTAAAGAATTTGTTGATAGCATGTGACAGTGGCGCCACACAAAACCCCACATGCTCATAGCTTTTTTAAAAATATAATTATAATGATTCTTAAAGGTTAACTTAGTGTCAAAGATGACTCCAAGATCTTTTACCTCACCAACTATTTTTAATGAAATGCCGTTTATATTATATGTATGTGCTAGAGTACATTTTAAATTTGCGAACGATATTGAGTAACATTTGCTAGTATTCAAAAATAACTGATTGCCAAGACACCATTCATGTAACCTGTCCAGGTCTGACTGTAATGCATATGCGTCTTCCACGGAATGTATACACTTATAAATTTTTAGATCAGCGAATTGCAAAAAATTTGAAGATTTGAAACAATATTGCAGATCATTGGTAAAAAGCAAAAAAAGAATCGGTCCACAATGTGACCCTTGCGGTACCCCCGAAGTAACGTTGAAAGATTGAGATTTAAAATTACCAATTCTAACTTGCTGACATCTACCAGATAAGAAAGAATGCAACCATTTAATAGTATCATGTCGAAAACCCAGATGACTCAGTTTTGAAATTAAGATGCTATGATTAACCCTATCGAATGCCTTAGCGAAATCCGTATAAATAGAATCAACTTGCACTGTACCCTGAAAAGACTCATTAAGAAACGTATAATATGTCAGTAGATTTGATAGAGAAGATTTTCCCTTCATAAAGCCATGTTGATTATCACATAGTATGGAATAAGACATCCACTGCAGTTGTGTAGAAACTATCTCGTCTAAAATCTTTGGGATAATCGATTGATTACAAACACCCCTATAATTTTCAACCTTTGTTCGACTGCCAGATTTGAAAATTGGTATCACATAACTATTCTTCCACCAGTCCGGAAACTTACACTCATTAAGAGATGCTTCAAATAATAAAAATAATGGGACCGTTAAAGTACAAATACACTTTTTCAACAGTATGCTAGG